GTCAGAACGCTGCGATCACTTGTCTGTATCCCTTTTGTGTTTTAATACCATTCTTACTTTGTGAACTTTTGCCTCATTACTGTTGCTTTGCCTACTTTTGTCTAATATATATATATATATATATATATATATATATATATATATATATATTAAAGACATTTTTATGTTTAACGTTCTTTTTATAGATACATAAACATAAAAAATGTCTTTAATAAATAAATTGTCGGACTTTGTCCATTTCTTAATATATATATATATATATATATATATATATATATATATAAAGTGGTCTAAAAGTAGGTGGACAGTAAATGCATCTTTTATATATATACAAAAGATACATTTACTGTCAACCTACTTTTGGACTGTTTGTAAATATATATATATATATATATATATATATATTATATATATATATATATATTTTTTCTTCTGTACTTTTTTTTCGCTTTTTTTTTTCTTTTGTATTGGGTTTTTTTTTTTTGTTTATTGGAAACTTTGTCAATTCTGTTTCTTGGGCATTTCTGCCAATTACATTTAATCATTACCATTTACTCTACAGTTTTTTCATTCTTTATTTATTTTTCACTCGTTTGTTTTATCAGATTTTCTCATTCATTAATTTTTTTCTTCTTCTTCGTCGTTCCACAGTCTGAGCCAGAAAATCTCTCTTTCATTCCAGACAAAATTCAACAATGTCCAGAAAACAAGAGTTTCATGAAGACCAGCCTCTTGTGTCTAAAATGTAATTTCTGATGTCTAATTCATCGTAAGCGAATCTTTTTCATTAGATTTCTTAGTGCGATTGACACTCAATCAGCGACGGTCACTTGGCACGCATTTCTTTCATCTTATGCTGACCGCTTGTCCAAAGAGATTCGCTGATGTCGTTATAAGATGCTTGGACATTCGGTTCATTAGCCAAATTCGGTTACAAAACAGCACGATAAAATTCGACAAGTTCCTAATATCACGTACACACAATACACTCATACGTCCTCTAACTTATTGACCTGACTACATCAGCCGACATACTGGCACACGGAAGCGCACAAATTTCTTAGGTGGCATCGGTGAACTTAAAAGCAGATCAACAAATACATTAATATGAATCTAAAGAAAACGCAGACACAGATAAAATTTGATCCGGATTCTCTCAAAGAAACAGTTTTATATTTGATATTTTGGCCATCACACAAATATCATGATAACTACGCTCCCGACATCTTGAAAAACATCAACTACAGAATGTTGATTAACATGATAGTCTAAACAGTCATTGGTGTTCCCCAGCGTCTTCACTGGATGTTCTACAATTGTGGCTCTATTCAGCCAGGCGTCTTCTACAAATTGTCAGGTATATAATGAGAGAGCCGTTTATTAGAATCATGGTTTGAGTGATTAATTTGTTTTTATGGGTTATCAACCTCTTGCAGGTTATTTAAAGCCAAAAATATTTTAGAGTAAAAAAGGAAGCCATTTGTTATAATCATGTATAATATTATTAAACATTTATTGTTATCAAAATCAGTCAATCAATAAACATTTTATTTAAAGTTAAGTAATAATAATTTTCACTGCATTTCTATAGTAAATCCTTCGGAATGAATTTCTATAGTAAATCATTTTCAATGCATTTTTATATTAAACTATTAGCAGTGTATCTAAACATTAATATAATTTTTCTAAATGTTTTTTTTGTTTTTTTGTTGTTTTTTTGTAACTATATTCTTAGGCACTTTAATAACCAACTGTTTGTGTGATCATAAAATAATTTTGAAGACTGGAAAACACTCGGTTCAAAAGAATTTGTGCTATCAATTTATGCTAGAATTTGTACATTTCAATTGTACCTGGTTGTATCATACGTATTGGATGTCTTGACATTATTTCTTCCCTAACTAATTTGCATATCTTATTATATAAGCATCATGATAATAATACTCCTGCCATCTTGAAAGCATCAACTACAGAATGTTGATCAACATGACAGTCTAAGCAGTAAATCTACATTGGATGTTCCACAATTGTGGCTCTATTCAACCAGGCGTCTTCTACAAATTGCCTGATATATACGATAAGGAAGCCGTTTGTTAGAATTGAGCTTTGAGTGATTGATTTGCTTTTTACGGATTATCAACATTTTGCAGGTTATTTAAAGCCAGAAAAAATATATATTAATTAATTAATTGACAATAGAAGTATACACCGGCATGAAAATAAAAAGCAAAAACTTCACATTCTTGAAGCTCTCTATATAAGAAAAATACAATCAAAACTAAATAAGGTTAATTATGAGTATAGTCACAATGTTTTAAAATATCTATAATAGCAATGTTTTAAAACACTTAAATTTTACTTTTTTAAAACACTTAAATTGTAACTTTAAAAGAATTACGACTGTATAACTTAAAGTTGCCTCCCTTAGATAACATAATAACTTTAGCGGTTAATTTTTAAATTGATTATAACGGAGCGCGTTCATACATGTTCATAATTATAACAGCGCGTTTCATGCGCATTTACGAAAAAAATTCACAACTATCAATTACATTAATTTTTTGTCGTAGCATTCACCCTGAAGATGATCTTGGATGAGCTTGAAAGTACTTAGGAAAATAAAGAAATGAATAAAACTACGGCGCTTAATACGAACATTAAAGCTGATCCAAGAATTCGAGAGGATTAAAATAAAATAAATATAATATATATGTCCAGATTATTTAGCCAAACATGCTTGAACGAAGATATATATATATATATATATATATATATATATATATATATATATATATATATGGGGAGAGAGATATAAACGCCTAATTATAACCAACGTTTCGATTTATATCTCCCCAGTATCCTACATATGTATAATTCCACCAATTGGTCTTTAAATAGGTTTTGTGGTTCCGATTTTGTCGTCCTGTTGTTAATTTTTTTTTTCTTCCCAGAGATATTCCCATTTCACTATTATTTTAAACGCATAATTTGTTTTAACATGAACAGATATTGAGCAAAAAAAGTGATTTATATAATACCAGGAGTAATCAATGAATCATAGATACTATTGAACATCTAAAAATATAAAGGCAACGGATTAATTAAACGTTTCATTGGCTTCTATTTTAGTTGTAAATTTTTTATTGAATCTAAATACATTGTTTCAAGACATTTGTTTCATTGCATCTCACTATTAAAACTTTCTTACAATTACCGTCATTTTAACGGCGCGGATACACGAGTTACTAATAATAAATAAAATGAAACATTCACTTATCTGTCCTTATTCTGAGTTTCACAGAAATTGTATCCACTCATCAACGGGCTTGATAGTAAAAAAATATATATAATCCTGTTGGGAACACTTCTATTTTTCCCGTAGAGGGAGCAAAAAGTTGGCTGAATTGATTTTCCAACTTTCGAAAACGTTGTGTTCCTGGAATTTCGAAAGTACCTAATAAAGTTATTTATAATGTCACTGTAGTTATTTTATTCCTGACGCAGACAATGATGTTGCTTTAAGAAAATCCGAACAATTTCGTTTTTTTTTTTTTTTTTTTTGTAGGGGGTCACCCAGAAATTATTCTTTAGGTTAATATAAAAAATAATTATGCCATTTATGGGTAATGAATTATTTTTCACCCGACAACTCGTCCTGAGCCTCTCGTAATTCTATCGATATTTCCATGGAACGAGTTCTGCCGAGCTATAACTCCTTAGTTCCACCACCTCTGACCTTAAGTAAATGCGAATCACTTCGTATCCCAATAGTACGGAGTAAGTTCACTTCGAATAGCTTCTTCCAAAGAACTGCTGTTTTTTGGAACAGACTCCCGACAGGGTGTTTTCCCTATTCACTATAATCTTAACCTCTTCAAGTCTAGGGTTAACCATTATTTTGTCCTTTCGTATTCCAATAGTAAGAAGTTAATTATATAAGTTTATTCGAAAATAGCTTATATACAAGAACTGTTGTTTGTGGAATAGACTGTCAGCAGGATGTTTTCCCAATCATTATAATCTTGACCCCTTCTATAGGTTTCTATAGTTAACCGTTATCTTTTTTCTTTTCGTGTTTCAAAAGTAAGAAGTAAGTTCTATTCGAATAGCTTCTTCCAAAAAAACTGCTGCTTTGGGGAACAAACTCCCGCCAGGATGTTTTCCCAATTACTATAATCTTGACCTATTCAAATCTAAGGTTAACTGTTATCATTCCTGCTTGACCCCATGAACCTCATTTTTTTTTCTTTTCTTAAACTCATACAACACCATACAGTAGCACTCTACCTTGAGTGGCTCTTAGGCCTTGTATTGGGTGAATATTAGTAAAAAAAAAAAAGGATTTCTACATTTCCTCATTGGTAGCTTCTCTTACCAATAAAGCATGTTGATATATTTGTTTCTAACGCATTCTCATACATTACTACGCCTTTTGAGACTTTGCCACAAAGTCTGAGCAATTTATATTGCTACAGCCTACAGAAAAGGTAAAAGAAATTAAATATAAATTTCTTGTAGAAATAACAGCAGAATGCCATAGAGTTTTGTTCGTATCTCTGAGAATTCATGAAGGCTCTTCTCTGGGGAAGGAGACTGACCTTCCAAGAAAATCATTTTGACCTTTGGGAAAATGATGTGAACTAATTTAAAGCGTAAATTCTTATTCGTGTCCCCACCCCCCAACTTAGAAGCGGCTCTCACTCAAACCACTGACGACAGGCATGAAGTCATAACGAGCGTTTGTAAAGAAGGAAACTATCATCTGCACTTTGCATTCCTTTCTGTTCAACTTTCGTCTTTTCAGGTTGCTATTCTATATTAAACTATCATCTCTCTCTTTCTCTCTCTTTCTTTCTCACTCTCCACTTTTTCTCTTTATCTCACCTGTCTCTACTACAATGTATCCTTTGCTTTCTTTTTTTTTTTTACCTTCGTTTTTGATGCTAACTTCTCAGTCACGTGCAGCTTTGAAAAGCTGTCAATCGTAAGCTGTACTGCGCATGAGTGGATATTTCTTCGTTCTCTTTCTCAACCACTCCTCCCTTCCTCTTTCTCTTTCTCTCTCTCTCTCTCTCTCCCTCACCTCTCTCTCTCTCTCTCTTTCTCTCCCCCCCCACGTTTTTATCCTAGCGACCCATTCGCCATCACCGGCGTTTTCCAATCGACAAATGTGAATCTTCGAATCAGATCATCCGATGGTTATCCGCGAAAATAAATACGACCATTTGACAGTTCAGTCATTGTTACGCCTGCGTGGCTTTTCGCTTGGTCCGTTTCTGGGGGCCACACTACCGATCAACACCATTAATTCAAGTCGCAACGAGTCCAGTTGGATGATATTCTAATATTTCATCTAACTCTCACTTCGTCGTTGCTTTCTGCTGGATTTTGTCATGGACTCTTTACCGATGTTTCCTGGCGGACAAGTTTTAACGCTGAATTTCCCAGCTCACTGATCGGCCTGTTGACAGGTATACAAGGTTGGGTGGTCCTGGTGATTGAGAGAGTTGGGTAAAGGTAGAGGAGAAACGGCTGAACAAGTGACAGGATGGGACATTTTTAATAAGTAGGAAAAATATTAATACTTGCTAAGAGCGAGTGAAATTTCCTTTGAAATCCTTGCAATCTGAAAATATTGTTAGGCGATAAGTAAAGATGGCCGGGCTGGGTAATGTTGCACTTTGAGGAATAACTATCACAGTTCCTGTCAACTGGGTCATCCAAGCTGCATGTTCTGTACTGTTACACCATATCTCTTTCAGTTATTCTTTTCTCTCTCTCTCTCTCTCTCTCTCTTTTTTTTATTTCTCTACCTTTTTCTCTTTTACTCTCTCTCACTCTGTTTCTGCCTCTTTCTATCTCTTCTTTCTTTATTCTCTCTCTCTCTCTCTCTTTTCTCTTTCTTTCTCTCCGTGTCTTTCTTTTCTCTTTCTCTGCTTTCTCTTTTTTTTTTCTTTTTTTGGTGGGGGGTGTGGTGCTTGGCCAAAAACTACAGCACAAGCCATGGTCCCTGCTGGAACCTCTGGGATGTGATGAGACGGCCACATCCTATACACTTTCCTTCCAAGCACTGCTAGAAACAATGAAAGTGAGCGGGAACGTTATAACTTAGTATGCATGCGCGAGTTCTTGAGTTCAAGATCAATCTGTGCTAAGCAGCTTCAATCTGCGCACTGTAGCTCCGTTGCCCAATACAAGTCCCAAGAACATCTCAAGGTAGAAGGCTACTGAATGAATTTGAAAACAGACTTGTGAAAAGCTAATAATAGTAGACTGTCAGTTTTTGCAGCATGGGTAAACTAGTGATAAATAAGTTAAATTTTCTTTGTTTTTTTTAAATATATATAGTGTTATTCACCCAATACAAATCCCAAGAACATCCCAAGATAGAAGGCTACTGAATGAAGTTATTTAAGTTATTTAATGCCGAAATCTAAATATTTTAAACCCAATTGTATGCCTTCAACTACAGAGAAAATATTGTTGTTAATTTTACTATAAATATGTATTGTTGGTAATATTTTTTATATAAAAATGTGTTGCTGGTAATTTTACTATAAAATTTATTTTTATACTTTCATAGTCTTTTGTTCTTGTTTAGGGAGTCATTATTTCTCATAGCAGGTGCAACCAGCCCGGGTCAGGGTGGACCTAAGAACAACAGCAATTAAGACGTGGTTCCACGCTCCTCAAAATCTCCAATCTCCCAATCAGAGGCCTTGCTTCCGGATGTAGTTTATCGTCATAACCAGGACTGATGATATGTAGAATAGAAAACGGTTAACCACAATCTGCAATAACTGTAGGGAAGAAGCTGTTTAGGGTGGAACTTCCTCCTTACCAATGGAATACAAAGGGAATGAGGATGAGTCTATCCTGTGTCACAATTACTTTAACGTTTAAAATCTAACGTAAAAATGAACATAATTTTCGTTTAGTTCTTAAACGTATTTCTTCAAGTTTTATTGTTTTCTGTTGAGATGTTTACTTTAAGCGCATATCAGTTGATGTGATTCAAAAATCGGCGGGGCTGGATTTTTTGTGTGAAATGAGAAAAAACACTTTAAAGTTAAAAAAAAAAATAAGAATAAAAATGCATCATACAATTTATTTTTAAATTAGCGCCTAACTTCCCAAAAAAGTATTTCTAACATATTTATATTTTGTGTAATAACAACTGCTCCACTCATTGTCACCCTTGAGAATCAAAAATACATACAGTATTTCCATTTGGTGTCGTTTCTTTTTATTACCTAAGTTTTCCACAACTTCCTACCTTTGTACTTCGAAGCAATGTTTATCTCCTTACTATCCTTCCAAATCCATGTTCTACCATCCATTTAAACAATCTCCTTACCCAGGTTATTCACTATTTCTTTCCGCAACGTGTGACTTCAATATGTCCTGTCAGTGTTAAATTCTCCAAGTCCTCTTTCCTCATTATGTGTCCCCAAAACTTCAACTGTCTATTTTTGTTTCTAAGTATAAGTATCTTTTTTGTTTCTATTTTCTTTAAAACTTGCTCGTTGCTCACAAGAAACAAGATTTCATCGTCGTTTACATGCTCCGTCCATAGCATTTTCAGCATCTTTCTGCAGAGCCATGTGTCTGTTAGCTTAAGTCTCATTTTAATCCGTGAAGAAATTATCCTGTATCCACTGTCATATACGAGGACTAATATTACATAGTCGTTCAGCACTCTATTCTTTGTTGCTAAAGAAATCTTCCTGTTTCTTTGCTAAGCTTTTGGAAGGCATCTTTCGCTATGCCAATTCACCATCGGACTTTGTCGTCGCATTTTCCCTTTTCTTTATGTAGGTTATTTTTGTGATATCAACGAACACCCGTTTGGGCCTTTTGTAATGTCAACGAATACTCGTTGCTACTTTTGTAATGCCAATTAATACTCGTTATCACTTTTTAATGCTCCTTATAGTAGAGACATTGTACTATAGTACGCCGTTGAACAATACTTGTATCAGATGCCTTCGAATAGCAATCGCACTAATAGTACTTGCTCGATAATACTCGATCGAACAGTAATCAGTATAGTGATCCAAATAGAAAAATACTATAGTGAATAGAGTAGAGAATAGAGGTCCGTATAGTAATAGAGAAGAGACTAGAAATAGTGATCCGAATAGTAACGGCAGATAGACTAGGAATAATGTTCAATTAAAAATCACACTGCCTTCTATATAGGCGTTACGTGGTCTACTTAATTCAATAATGGGATCGCCTGTGTTTGCTTTCTGGCGATCTATGTTCAAACTCAAGTGTAGGCAGCGACACTTTATTCTTATATAAAACATTTATGCGCTACTTTCTTCTGTTTCTCATGCTTTCAATGTGTCATGTGTGTGTTTCATTTTCCAAGCCCTCTTTCCTCATAACGTGTCCTTGTTCTCATCCTGTGAATATCCCGTGACATGGACACTGGAATCCTAGTGTAGTAAATAAAAGGTTCAATTTGAAATTCCCTGAAGTTTACCATAATCGAGAGAGGGCTGAAGAAGGTCGGAGGACAAAATGTTGTGCTAATAGTAACAAACATGAAGACATTAGTCTGAATGTCTTCTGCTATCTGCTATGTTTCTAAAGGTTTGGGCGATTATGGCTCTCTAAAACATCCAATCTTAGTAACGATGGTCTTTTCACCATCTCACTTAAACACTATTCTGTAAAACATTTACACAAATTTGTCAGGCAGGTTATGCACTACTTTCTTCTGTCTCCCTTGCCTTCACTATATCATGTAAGTGTCAAATTTTCCCACTATCCTAATTATGCGGCCTAGAAATTTCAGCTGTCACTTTCTGATGTTACGTTTTTCTTTCGATATTATCTAAAACTTCGATATTGCTCACATGTTCAGTCCAGGCTATACTCAACATCCTTCCGTAGAACCATATCTCTGTTGTCTCAAGTCTTCTTTTCATCTTTGAAGAGATTGTGCAGCATTTAGTTCCATATTGAGGAATGTATATTATATTGTTCCGTTTATGATATTCTCAGCAATCGTCTGTTGAACCATATCTCTGCTGCATCAAAAAAATTTTTATCTTTGAACAGATTGTCAAGAATTTACTTCCATATTGAGGAACGTATAGTATATTGTTTCGTTCATGATATTCTCAGCAATTGTCTGTTGAACCACATCTCTGTTGCATCAAGCCTTGTTTAATCTTTGAAGAGAGTGTCCAGCATTTAGTTCCATAGAGAGGAATGGATATTATGTTGTTCCGTTCATGATATTCTCAGCAATCGTCTGTTGAACCACATCTCTGTTGCATCAAGCCTTGTTTAATCTTTGAAGAGAGTGTCCAACATTTAGTTCCATAGAAAGGAATGGATATTATATTGTTCCGTTCATGATATTCTCAGCAATCGTCTGTTGAACCACATCTCTGCTGCATCAAGCCTTCTTTTCATCTTTGAAGAGATTGTCCAGCATTTAGTTCCATAGAGAAGAATGCATATTATATTGTTCCGGTCATGATATTCTCAGCAATCGTCTGTTGAACCACATCTCTGCAGCATCAAGCCTTATTTTGATCTTTGAATAGATTGGCCAGCATTTAGTTCCATATTGAGAAATGTATATTGTATTGTTCCGTTCATGATATACTCAGCAATCGTCTCTTGAATCACATCTCTGATGCATGAAGCCTTCTTTTCATCTTTGAAGAGATTGTCCACCATTTAGTTCGATAGAGAGGAATGGATATTATATTTTTCCGTTCATGATATTCTCAGCAATCGTCGTTTGAACCACATCTCTGTTGCATCAAGTTTTGTTTAATCTTTGAAGAGAGTGTCCAGCATTTAGTTCCATAGAGAAGAATGGATATTATGTTGTTCCGTTCATGATATTCTCAGCAATCGTCTGTTGAACCACATCTCTGTTGCATCAAGCCTTGTTTAATCTTTGAAGAGAATGTCCAACATTTAGTTCCATAGAGAGGAATGGATATTATATTGTTCCGTTCATGATATTCTCAGCAATCGTCTGTTGAACCACATCTCTGTTGAATCAAGATTTGTTTAATCTTTGAAGGGAGTGTCCAGCATTTAGTTCCATAGAGAGGAATGGATATTATGTTGTTCCGTTCATGATATTCTCAGCAATCGTCTGTTGAACCACATCTCTGCTGCATCAAGCCTTCTTTTCATCTTTGAAGAGATTGTCCAGCATTTAGTTCCATAGAGAGGAATGGATATTATATTGTTCCGTTCATGATATTCTCAGCAATCGTCTGTTGAACCACATCTCTGTTGCATCAAGATTTGTTTAATCTTTGAAGAGAGTGTCCAGCATTTAGTTCCATAGAGAGGAATGGATATAATGTTGTTCCGTTCATGATATTCTCAGCAATCGTATGTTGAACCACATCTCTGTTGCATCAAGCCTTGTTTAATCTTTGAAGAAAATGTCCAACATTTAGTTCCATAGAGAGGAATGGATATTATATTGTTCCGTTCATGATATTCTCAGCAATCGTCTGTTGAACCACATCTCTGTTGAATCAAGATTTGTTTAATCTTTGAAGGGAGTGTCCAGCATTTAGTTCCATAGAGAGGAATGGATATTATGTTGTTCCGTTCATGATATTCTCATCAATCGTCTGTTGAACCACATCTCTGTTGCATCAAGCCTTGTTTAATCTTTGAAGAGAGTGTCCAACATTTAGTTCCATAGAGAGGAATGGATATTATAATGTTCCGTTCATGATATTCTCAGCAATCGTCTGTTGAACCACATCTCTGCTGCATCAAGCCTTCTTTTCATCTTTGAAGAGATTGTCCAGCATTTAGTTCCATAGAGAAGAATGCATATTATATTGTTCCGGTCATGATATTCTCAGCAATCGTCTGTTGAACCACATCTCTGCAGCATCAAGCCTTATTTTGATCTTTGAATAGATTGGCCAGCATTTAGTTCCATATTGAGAAATGTATATTGTATTGTTCCGTTCATGATATACTCAGCAATCGTCTCTTGAATCACATCTCTGATGCATGAAGCCTTCTTTTCATCTTTGAAGAAATTGTCCACCATTTAGTTCGATAGAGAGGAATGGATATTATATTTTTCCGTTCATGATATTCTCATCAATCGTCGTTTGAACCACATCTCTGTTGCATCAAGATTTGTTTAATCTTTGAAGAGAGTGTCCAGCATTTAGTTCCATAGAGAGGAATGGATATTATGTTGTTCCGTTCATGATATTCTCAGCAATCGTCTGTTGAACCACATCTCTGTTGCATCAAGCCTTGTTTAATCTTTGAAGAGAGTGTCCAACATTTAGTTCCATAGAGAGGAATGGATATTATATTGTTCCGTTCATGATATTCTCAGCAATCGTCTGTTGAACCACATCTCTGTTGCATCAAGCCTTGTTTAATCTTTGAAGAGATTGTCCAGCATTTAGTTCCATAGAGAGGAATGGATATTATATTGTTCCGTTCATGATATTTTCAGCAATCGTCTGTTGAACCATATCTCTGTTGCATCAAGCCTTGTTTAATCTTTGAAGAGAGTGTCCAGCATTTAGTTCCATAGAAGGAATGGATATTATATTGTTCCGTTCATGATATTCTCAGCAATCGTCTGTTGAACCACATCTCTGCTGCATCAAGCATTTTTTTCATCTTTGAAGAGATTGTCTAGCATTCAGTTCCATATAAAGGATTGTTATTATATTGTTTCGTTCATGATATTCTTAGCGATCGTCTGTTGAATCAAATGTCTGCTGCATGAGGCATTTTATTCATCTTTGAAGACATTGTCCAGCATTTAGTTCCATAGAGAGGAATGCATGTTATATTGTTGCGTTCATGACATTCACAGCAATCGCCTGTTGGACCACATCTCTGCAGCATCAAGCCTTATTTTGATCATTGATTAGATTGGTCAGCATTTAGTTCCATATTGAGGATTGTATATTGTATTGTTCCGTTCATGATATACTCAGCAATCGTCTCTTGAATCACATCTCTGATGCATGAAGCCTTCTTTTCATCTTTGAAGAGATTGTCCAGCATTTAGTTCCATAGAGATTTATGGATATTCTATTGTTCCGTTCATGATATTCTCAGCAATCTTCTGTTGAACCACATCTCTGCTGCATCAAGCCTTCTTTTCATCTTTGGAAAGGTTGTCTAAACATTTAGTTCCATAGAGAGAAATGTATATTATATTGTTCCGTTCATGATATTCTCAGCAATCGTCTGTTAAACAACATCTCAGATGCATCAACCTTTTTTTCATCTTTGAAGAGAGTGTGCAGCATTTGGTTCCATAGAGAGGAATGGATATTATATTGTTCCGTTCATGATATTCTCAGCAATCGTCTATTGAACCACATCTCTGCTGCATGAAGCATTCTTTTCATCTTTGAAGAGATTGTCCAGCATTTAGTTCCATAGAGAGGAGTGGATTTATATTGTCCCGTTCGTGATATTCTCTGCATTCTTTTATTGTACCACATCTCTTCTTTATCTGTGAGGAGTTTGTCCAGCATCCATGTAAATGTTTTGATGTTGCATAAAATTTCAGTTCTGTTTTCTTTGTTTTCCTGTTTCTTAATACTTTCTTTAACTTTTGAGGTCTCTTTTCTCTATCACAGTGTGTCTTCTCTGTCCCTGTAAGTTTTACTAAACTCTCTTTCTTCATTATGTATACTAGTAATTTCAACTCTGTCACTAAGTTGATTCTTCTTCTATGTGTCATCCACCTCTTCTCCCCCAACTATGGGTTAATTAGTATGACTTGTATCACTAAATCATTATATCCAAAAAAAATCTTAAAATCTAAAAATATTTTCTAGCTTTAAATAACTTGCAAAGGATTGTCAAGCCGTAGAAAATTAATTTTTTAAATCATTTATTCAAAGTGCTGTGTCCCTTCACGACGTTGACGATCATGGCTGTCTACAATTTACTGTACTTTACAGCTCTTAATAAATTTTCTTCTTGTTATTTCTTCTAAACTTTGTTCTGCCATCCATTTACTCAACCTCGTTAGGTAGGTTATGCGTTGCTTTCCTTTGATTTCAATCTGTCCTGTGAGTATTAAATTTTCCAAGCCCTCTTTCTTCATTATCTATCCTATAAATTTCAACTTTCTCTTCCTGATGTTAATTATGTCTCTTTTTGTTTCCATTTTCTCTAAAGATTTCATTGCGTACTTCCCATCCTCTGTTAAAACACTTCTCAGATAGTTAAATTGTTTGATTTTGGTATCTCCAACTTGCATGTTGGGTTCCCCCTTTTGCTAACAACTCTACATTCCAGATGAGACCGAAAATGGAGTACTGCTCTCATACATGGACAGGAGTTGCCCAGGCTTCACTTTCCACTCTCGAGTTCAAAAGTCTATCCGCGTCTTTATTATTTCCCACCCTACAACCCCTTTTCTCATAGATGATAAATCGCAAGCCTCTCCCTGCTTTATCTAATATATCTCTAGCTATTTCCATGAAGCACATATGAACTACGCTTCTTAGTTCCAACAGCTCTAACGTTCAAGGCTAAAACCCGCCATGCCATGAACATTGTAGAGAACCATTCAAGTAGCTTCTTTCCACGAACCACTGCCTGGTGGAACCGACTCCCAAGATGTTGCTTCCACGATCACTAAATTCAAGTTTAGGCTTAACAGTTATCTTCCACACATATCCGCATACGCTGTGGCTCTTACCCACTACTTCGAGTAGCCCCCAGGCCTTGTACAATTCTGTCTTCTTTTTTCCTATTTTTTCTTGATTGCTCTCATCTTCGGCCCATGGTATTCTTAGCATCCTTCTGTAGATTCACATTTCTGTCGCTTCAAAGCTTCTTCTTCATCTGTGAGAAGATTGTCCAGTTATTTTTTTTAATTTTCTACTTATTTCAAAAGTATTAATAATAATAATAATAATAATAACACCTACTGGAAGTCACATTATCTTTTTAAGACTTTTGACTGACTAGGCCGGTAGACGTGAATTTATATTGTTTAATAAAATGGAAATCTCTACTTAAACATGTGTATCCACTAAATGTAACGTTTAAAATGGCCTACTGCCTAGCAAGATTACCACGCGACGGAGAGATATCTAAATCGTAAATAACAACCTCTGTGTGTGTGCGCGACCCCGCATACGCGTACACACGCACACATACGAGAGAAGAGAAATGATGTAGCACATTTATATAACACTGTTAAAGATACATTCATCATTTTTACGAGTCAGTGTGTCTCTAACCATGCTGCCTCTGCCCTGTACAAAAGCGTCAGTGACGCCTATTCGTTAATTATTATTTTTATTTATTTTTTTTTTTTGTCCACACGGACCACACCACCGGGAAAAAAAATAGGTTAAAAGTTTAATACTGAAACAAGCCCCACCCCCACCCCAACCTCACTCAGCAACTCTGATGTTCCCCCTCCCGGTTTCACCACCGCCGCCACACCTACGTTGAAATCACCGGAAAACAACGGCTCGTGCCCGTGCGTCGCAAACAACAAACGTACGCTCACATGTCACTGCCTCAGATATGCTGCCGAAACATGCGCGCGCATCTATTTGGTTAACAGCGCATGACCGTCACGTGCTGAGTGATGCGACCAATCGAAGTGGCAGCACGATGAATGTGAAAATGTCAGGCGTCTGTAGAGTTTGCTGCAAGATCCGATGAACCCGATGGAGGCAGCTCCTATCCCTCGGTTGTCTGGTTCACCAATCAGTCAGTTCCCAATTGGTCCCAGAGGACATGACTTGAAGAGAGTGACCAACGATGAGAGACACCAAACTGTTAACAGAACGTTTTCGCTTTCTGGCACAACTTTGGCTTTCTGCTCTTGATACACTTTGTGCTTTTATGCACTTGCCTATTAAGTGTTCTCTATTGCTCAACGAGAAAAGAAAAATCTTTTCATCAATAAATTAAAAGCACGCACTCAGTTAAGCGATCATAAATCGTCCCCATCAACACTTTGGTTGTTCTTTTCATTTTTCTTAATTTCCCTATTGTCTCCCTCCTATTATTTTTATATCATTTTCTATCTATCTATCTATCTATCTATCTATCTATCTATCTATCACAATCTGTTTTTTATCTATTTACGTATCTATCTATCTATCATAATCTGTTTTTATCTATTTACATATCTATCTCATTATCTGTTCGTTATTTATCTATCTATTTATCTATCTATGAATAGGCAGTTCTTATCTATCTATCTATCTATCTATCTATCTATCTATCTATCTAAGTCTGTTCTTATCTATCTATATCATTCTGTTCATTATCTATCTATCTATCTGTCTTTCTATCTATCTATCTATCTATCTATCTATCTATCTATCTAATAACAATAATAACAGAGATCGTTAACGCCTAACAAAACAAGTAGTACAGGAAGTTATTGGAGTTTATCGCGTTTAAAGAGGAGAAAATTTTTATAAACAGTGTTTACTATTTTTTAAAAAAGATCAACAATAATTAACAGATAAATTTCAAAAGGCTTATCTCTCTCATTTAAGGATTTTTATCTGTTATCTCTCTATCTATCTATATATCTATCTATCTATCTATCTATCTATATATATATATATATATATATATGTGTGTGTGTGTGTGTGTGTGTATCAGTCTGTTCTTATCTATCTATCTATCTATCTATCTCAATCTGTTCATTATCTATCTATCTAATAACAATATTAAAACAGAGATCGTTAATGCTTAATTACTGGAGTTTATCGCGTTAAAGGTGGGCAAATTTTTGTAGTGTTCAGTATTTAAAAAATAGCAACAATAATTAATAGATAAATAGTTTCAAAAGTTCTATCTGTCTGATTTAAGGATGTTATTTACCTGTCTACACACACACACACACACACACATATATATATATATATATATATATATATATATATGTCTCTTCACATTTATCTGTCTGTGTATCTGTCTATACATCTAAATCTATATCAGTCTTGTTAATATCTCTGTGTTTCTACCTATTTATCTCAGTCTTTTCAAATCCATCTATTTATCTATCTATCTCAGTCTGCTCAAATCTATCTATCTGTTCACATCTATCTCTTCATATTTATCTGTTAATATCTATCTAAATCTATGTCAGTCTGTTGATATCTATCTGTTCACATTTATCATCCTGTTCATATCTTTCTCTTCACATCTATCTATCTATCTATCTATACGCTGATGAAGGACACAGGCGTATCCGAAAATTCCGAATATAAAACATTTCTCCCCGTGCTTCATTAATGTCATATGGTTAATACTTAATAAATGTTTATCGTACTGATTAAATTGGTTCCCTTTGGTTTTTCCTTGTTTTATTAAACAACCTATTTTACATATTATAAAAAGCACACGTAGACAACTTTATATACATACATATATATATATATATATATATACTCCTGAAAAATTTATTTCGGTTGAGCTGTCTGGGGAGGAAGTGTAGGTTTGTAAACAGTAACTATTACGGCTAATAATGCAAGACTCTTCGGTAAATCGAATCGAGTTATCTCAGTCGCTGTTGGTTTATCTAAAAAATAAATACGCTTAAATTCACCTTCATCCCTGCCGTGCGCCAACGGCTTAGTGTTAGAATCCTCAACTGACGCCAATTCATAGCTAGAAGCAACCGGACGTCTAGCCACACTGATGAGTTGTGATACAGCGAAACAGTCTGTCTGTGGCTGACATATATATATATATATATAATTATTTATTTAAAAATATGATTCCAAATCGCTACATAAGAGGTCTCATGTTTCAAAACTAGAGCCGAAAACTTCAATATAATCCTTTAAATTAAATTGAGTTGAAAGTAAAATGGGCTCCGTTCCATCCTCAAGCGAAATTTTTGTATGCTCTACTTTTGTATCGAGCACTATTTTTTAAAAATAATAACTAAAATACTAAGGGACTTTGGATTATTTACCTAACCAGTTCCTTCCTATTTTCTATATATTTTCACATATATATATATATATATATATATATATATATATATATATATATTTTATAAAAAAATTATAACATAAGTATGTTATAAAATCACTACAAAAATAGCCATTTTGTTTCTCACTCTGTGTCTCACTTGAAGACACAGAGTGTGTTGAAACAAAATGCTATTTTTGTAGTGATTTTCTAACATACTTATGTTATAATTTTTTATAAAAATAATTATATCTGCTCTACTTTGTATTGAGCACTCTTTTAAGAATAGTAATTGTTGGTTGTTGGAATTCATTCCGTGTATACCAATTATATACTTTTGATATATATATATAGATATATATATATATATATATATATATATATATATATATATGCAGAAAGCTTTCTTTTAAACCCGTTTTATTGAATGTGACAAAGAAAGAAAATCTTCTTTTTTTTTCACATTCTTACCGTTTTCCTTTTTTTGTTTGGATAAAAGAGCGTAGAATCTGTCCCCCAGCAATCCATAGCTTTCGATCAATTCATTGACCATTTTGAAAGGCTATTTCTTCTTTTTACTTTTCATTTTATGTTATTTTTCTTACTTTTCTCTTTCACTCCTTCTCCCTCTTTGTCTCTCTTGCAATCCTTTGTTTCTGTTTGTGAGTCTCTCTCTCTTTCTGTCTCTCTCTCTCCCTCTTCTTCTTCTTCTTCCCTCTGTGGGTATGTGTGTGTGTTTCTCCAATTATTTCCACCACCTACAATTCCTTCTACATTCTTAAATTTGTTAATCTTATTAAAGCTACGAGATCCGTAAGCTTTCTCAATCCCATCTCATTTCAAACAAATTTTCGACCAATCAGCTTCTTTGCTTGGTCAACGACTCCCTCCTCTCAAAATACAAACAACAAGATGAGTCATGTGATCAATTCTTATTGGACGCTTTGCATCTTTTGCATGTTCGACTCGCAAACCAATTCATTAGACTAGTCATAGCAATCATTTTTGTTTGAATTTCTGGGATGAGGAGTTATCAACAGTCCGAATATAAATATAAAATAATCATAGTGATGTTCGATCCTCAAAAGATGCCCGACTGCTTTGGCCTTGCGGCGAACTAAGGAAGCAATTCTAACATTTTGTGTATTCTCTACTTGAAGATAAAATAAACTTGAAAATAAAATAAACACTTTTAAATCATTTAGTTCTGAATTTTGATTGCTTTTCTGTTTTATTTTTCATTTCCTTGAACATTTGAAATATTGTCGTCCAACCAAAAATTGGCAAGTCTTTTAAAAATTAAATTAACGTCAGCAAATTTACAAAACAACAAAAGGAAATCAATAATTTGTGAAAAAGAACAAACAATCATATCAAAATATTACAAAATTCTCAATTATCTTTAAAATATTTCTTTTTAGTGAGCAAACCAAAAATATTCTGACATTTTTAAACCTGAGAAATTTCACTATGATATTAGTTAAACGTTATATTCCATGCTAATAGGAATATATACTTGAACAACACGGTGGATAAATTAAGTAAAGGCTTATTGTAGAAACCAGTACAATAAGAAATAAGGTAACAATTATGCGCACGATCGTCGCAAGTCAATCCAGTAATGAGGGCTACTATTGGAAGGTCGGTAGTTCTCGCGTAAGTTTGAGTTGTACGCAACGAAACCCAGCTAGTAATATTTACCAACCTCCCCACGGAGTAGGATGTAGCACAAGGCCGAGTTTAACGTGGGTCATCCCAGCCTGTAGGCTCGGCCAAAAATTCCCCGTAGAACCCGCATAAACGAGTTCGGGTCTGTCTACCTCCCCGGACGAGACTCTGTCCTTCGGCATAGCCTCGTCTTGGTTCCTCTCTGCCCGAAGGTAGAGAGTTCAACAGCACAGCTGGAACAGATTCCAGCTAGTCAATATTTACCAGCATCCACCACCCTCTCACCACGAGGGTAGATGTAGCACAAGGCCGAGTTTAACGTGGGTCATCCGAGCCCGTAGGCTCCGCCAAAAATTCCCCGTAGAACCTGCATAAACGGGTTCGGGTCTGTCTACATCCCCGGACGAAGGCAGAGAGTTCGAAGTATTTCTTATTATGTATGGAGGAAAAATTAGCAATAGTCACCTCCGATGAACTTAATAATTTATTAAATCAAAGATCTGAGATTTTAAATAGTTGTAGACATAGGAGATCTTAGTTATTGGAAAAGAGGCTCTGTGGGTTTTTTTTCCTATCTTCTTCTGTCACGTGGTTTTATGCTATTTAATTTTTAGTGGTTTTATCAGTGAATATCATTTCGTATCATTTCCTCTTTAGTCAGATTACCCTGAAGATTCGTTTAGGTGAAACCTAAGTAGGCTGTTCCTGGCTCTTTTAGATTTATTTTATACACACACACACACACACACACACACACACATATATATATATATATATATATATATATATATTATTATTATTATTATTTTATATATTTTATGTATATTAGTCATCCACAAACAGAGTGTTTGCTGTATCATAGTTCATCAGTGTGGCTAAATATCCGATTGTTTCAAGCCGGGACCGAAACCCGACCGATTTGGCATCAATCAGAGATTCTACCCCAAACTATCGTTGCACAGCAGAGAGAAAGAGAAATTTTAACGTTTTTACTGTACGAAAGATGTCAGTGGCTAGGAGAGCTCGATTCTAGTTGAAGACCATTGCATTGGCAGCAGCAACCACTGTTTATGAAATCACCCCTTCCTCTTCGAGAGTATAAGTACTAGTTTCTTTTTGTTTTTTGTTTTGTTTTGTTTTATTAATTGGACAGATTTTTATCATTATAAACGTTATTTTTAGTGGGTACTCATATTTGAATAGGCGCTCCGTTTATTTTAACCAATATATTTATTTTCGTCTACCGCCCTAAATATACGAGAAGTCTTAAAAAAAAAGATGTATCCTCTAGCATAATTAGAACGCTCCCTCCCCTTAGTAGGAGAAACCGTCGTTAGATCCGACCTCCATTTAATCGACTCGGCCACAAAGGGCGTCACCGGTCATGTAAGGCCGAATACTACCTTTAAGCATAATCCTTCTCGTTCCAGAGACTCGAATGTTCTTATTTCATCTATTTTGTATTCAAAACGTAAACAAAGCAATTTCTAAAGAAAAAATAGATTATTTATTTATTTATTAATCCGACAGATTTTTATCACTTTAAACGTTACTTTTTGTGGGAACTCAGAGCTGAAAAAAACGTTAAAGAAAAAAACGTATATTTATTAGCCTAAATTATATAACATAAATTTTAGCTTGGTTATTTTACATCGAACACTTTTATTACCACCAGCACACATTGTGCAATATTTTATACTTTACACACATTTTTAGCCATCTCTCTTTACTAAATCTTTCAAAAATAAAATATACTCTCCTGAAAATTTATTTGGGGAATATTAGCTGATTTAAAGTTTAATTAATCTGATTTGAAACAAATATATTATTAAGATCACAGTGAGGTGTGAAACTGACAATCACCATGCAGTGTTACGTGTTAATTCCTATGTCTACACTGTCTATACTTACAAATGCTCTATCTTCAATACTGAGCACTGTTTTTCCCTGTGTGTATTACTTCAATTTTAAGCAATACACGCACGCACGCACGCACACACGCACTCTCTCTCTCTCTCTCTCTCTCTCTCTCTCTCTCTCACACACACACACACACACACACACACACACACACATACATATATATATATATATAAGTAAAAGTTTGTCAGCTGATTGATGTTATCATCAGCATCACGACTCCAGAATTTCGTAGGCAGACCCATCCGTCCACTCTTCAGGGGATATCAGCAACTGAATGCTTATGTTTCTCGATTTTTCTTTTTATGCACTTATCATTTCTGTAAGTTTTTTCCGTATTGTTTGTGTTCGTGTGTGTGTTTGCGCGCGTGTGACCATGCGCCTGTCTGCACGGATGGGTGTTTACGCGCCTGAGCCCGTCTGCGCGGTTTGCCTTCCATCAGCATGGCTAACTTTAACCTTTATGAGAGCAACTCACAGCAGCTTCTTGGTCTCATGTTACCCACTGACACGTGGTGGAATGATTATATTGAATCAATTGCTAAGTTTGCTGCTAAGAATGTTGGTTCATGATGTCAGGTAGACAATTTCTCTCGATAAAATCTATCTTGTACATTTATAAGTCTACCATACGTCCGTGCATCGAATATGATGCATTGACGTATG